TGTATTCCAGCGATATCTAGAGACCAGCGGCTATGCTTAGCAGCAAGGAAGTAGCCGAAAACGTGTTACAATACAGGGAGATGGTGGTTTACTTGTTACAATATCACAACTAAATGGCCGGTTGAATGCAATTCATTTCGGCAAAGAGATCCAGGAAGTTAGAGCAAGGGGAGCCAATTGCAAAGCGGAAACGACTTGCCCGCAATTAACTACGGCCCATTGATGAGCACGCCTTCAGTTCTCTCGAGAACATATAGCAGCTGTAGTGCGCCAGGCCCTGATAGAGGTTGATGCGTCTGTTATGGTGTGGCCTGCTTGAAGCGTAGATATAAATCTCGTTGAACACGTGTACGTATGCGAGCAGAAAAAAGGAGTACGAGCCAAAAATACGGCGTCTTGATTTTAATCTGCATTGTAGGACTGCGATCTGCATCTACTCCATCATTGCGTTAAAAATTTTGGTAATAGCCTATATTTTTTTTTGGATAATCTTGAAATTTACTGGACACTATATGGTCCTAACGTGTAATTTAAACTTGCTTGGACGGCTCGTGTACTCAATTCTTGAATTACAAATAAATAAATATCTTCTTATTACTTTTTTTCTGTTGTTTTATTGCTATTATAATCATTTTGAAAATCAAAGATATGGTTTTAAAAAGCTAGCAGTGTTTACTTTAACTTAATTTAAGTTAAGTTTGCAGCCTAAAACTAATATCTGCAATATTTCGATTTGAAGTAAAAACGTAGGAATTATGCTACTTTTGTTGCTCTCGAGTGTATAACACATACTTATGTGTGTAGAATAATTTAATTGCAATATTGTTATTGCTCTATACATGTATTCTTTTCTGTGTTAACTATAGACACATATAACACATTTTTAAATCCGTTCTTTGTATTAAGAATCGCTTCTTTTTTTTTTTAGTTTTCAGAACCAATCCGCAACTAAACGATAATATAAAATTCGCGAATGGAATCTATGCAAGTATTCGTAATGTGAATTTATAAGAATTGTTTGTGTGGTTTTTTAAAACAACTAGGTGGATTAAAATCTAATCTCATGGTAATCATTTAAATAATTTAAACTTCTTTCTTTAAGCTCCAACCATCGATTCAACTCGTAATCAATTTATAAGCAAATATAAGTTTTAAGTCAGCTTACTCCCATTTAGTTCACTCTTTTTCACCTAAGTTGATAAAAATTTTGTTGTCAAATTATTAAACGGAGGTTAATGGGCTTTTGGAAGTTTATGACCAGTTGAGGAAAACCATCAAAAACTATTAGATTTGACCTAACAGCTGGTGTTAGCAATGTGGCGAAGATAAAACTTTGTATAAATATTGAAGATTGCATATCGTTTTGTTTTGAAGAAATAAAAGAAAGAAATAAAAGAAAAAAACGATGAAAGTTTTATAGTTTATTGTGAATATAATATCGCGGAAATAGGAAAGGCGCAGTTTTATACACAATTTGTTCTGGTATATAGCTGTTGGTAATGCTATAGGCATTCTGTGTAAATGATATCAGCAATTTATTGTGAGAGTACATATAAAAGTGCAAGCGTAACGTGTTAATATTGCACGAGGTTACCGCGCGAACATAGAACGTACACTATTAATAGAAAAATTAGTTGAATTAGTCTAGAATCGTTGTTAACGTTTTGATAGACATACTCCGGATAAAATAGGCGGAACTCGTAAATTTCGAATACTTTGTTTTTGCCACAAAGCTCCAGGCTTTCAACCCTATTGCAGACTCTGCTATTGTATTGAAGTTTGCGTTGTTATGAGATGCAAAACCCTTGTGAGAAGTCAAGAAGAAAATGACGCCAATGGCGCGGTTTAACAGCAACTACATTGACAGGTAGGGGCGTCTCTTGGCGTAATTGGGTTTGATAATTAGGTACAGGAATTGTGAAACTTATTGTAAAATATCAATAGTTCGTGAATTATCGTAGAGATTATATATTTAAGTAAAATTCGTGTTGAATGAAAAAAAGTTTAAGAAAAATATAAAAAAAATTGTCAGTAATTCTTCCGTTAGATTTTGTATACAATATTTAAAAATATATTATATCATCAATAAGTAATCAAAAGTACAAATTTTTCTAGCGTGTACTTAGTAGTAGGGTTTAAATCCATTGGAAGTGCATTTACCCCTTGTAGGTTCTTTTCCTCAAAAACAGACAGGCTTCTTGTCAGAGGTATATCAGATTCGACTAAGAAGCTAAACGAACAATCATATGTGAGGAGGTAAAGTCGTGTTCTCGTTTTGCTCTCACATATTTTTCGTTTACGTAGAGGATGCTGGTTTTAGGTTATACATAAATAAAATAAGTAGCATTAGGTAGCGGTAAGTTAGGAATAAGCAGACGGCGACTGACGACGCCAAAAGGAAATGCATAATAAAACTAATAGTCTCTTATGGTCAAGATTGTGAGTATTGCAAATGGTATGTATGTCTCTAATCATCCTGACTATAAATGATCCTGTGGAAAGGCCTCTGTTCCGGCGATCTCATACTTGCCCACCAGGAAGGAACCTCGCGGAGCTTGTATATGATATTGAAATCGATTTAATCACTTCTATCTGTCTGTTTTACACCCGCGCTAGTCGTAGTGCAAAAGTATACTAAGTTTATGCCACTGTGTGCAACACTCAAAGGAACATGGGATAGAGACACATTTTATTACAGCAATCATTTCAGTATCACTTTCTATATCAATCCAAGGATGTCCGTACGTCCATCCGTCTTGTTCGCTTGCGCCCAATCTATAGGAGAGATTTTTGATAAAATTCGGTCCGCCAACATACTTTGCTCCGGGGATTAATTCGACCGCTTTCCACACAACACTTTATTTTAGAAAGTCAGTATGTGAATAAGCGTAATGGTGTAGGGTATTTAATGGTGTCCATTTAAGGCATTTTTGCTTGCTTTCGTATCAGATTTACTTGAGTTGGTTTGTTTTCTAAAATCGGGGTAACCTATGATTTTCTTATTTGCTTTGAAGTTTATTTAGCATCTTAAAAACCAGAAAGAACTTTTTGTTAAAGATATCCCACGGTTACCAGGTGTTCACAAAATCTATTGCTCGACTAAATTTTTACACCTTCAAATAGTATGTAAACTTATCTGAAGAAACGTTAGCTTTGTTTGACATTTTCACAACCCTACTAGGAAAAACACCTCCGAAGCGTTAACTGATTTTAATTTTTATTTATAGTTTCACACAAAGAAAAGAAAGAAAATTGACTCATTCTCAGGTGCTGTAAAATGATATCTGCTCGATATTTAAATGTGTTTTTTTATAATAAATATTGCATGAAAATGATGTCAATAATGAGTTTTCATTATAGATGCTATATAAGTACAAAGTAAAAACCATCCAAATTATCCGAATTATTGGATGCGACATAGAGGAAGAACTTCTTTTTATTAACATTGGGTATATAAATAAATTTTGTCTTCAAATTTTTTTCTTTTTTTTTTTGATGTGACCGATAGTGATGACGAGGAAGAAGTGAGAAAAAATAGAGCAAAAGAAAGAAAGAATGAAAAGACATAAGGAGGAAGAAGCAGTAGCCCAGCGGGTATGTGCCCAATTGGTAAGTATGACGCCTTTATGGACTGACTCCTCACTATAGTTACGAACAATGTAAATTATACCGCACCTATATTTGAAACCGAAGACATTGACTTGGCATTCGCGATTATTTGGTTGCATCATAAAACACAGCTGACGCGTTCATGTCTTTCAAAATTTTAGGTATACGTAGTTTGGGCGTTAATTTCTGTACGGTATAGTTCAGTTAAGAAAGTGTGAAGAAGTGGACGGCACTGGGCTGTTTTAGTTTTGAACCGGAAAAAATGCGGCCTAAGCTATGGTAGTGATTGAATTGACTTGGAGTGGAGATGCTGTAAGTTGTAAGTACGGTTGGAAAATGGTTCAAAAAATATTAGAATTGAAAACGATGCGAAATAAATAATTTTTAAATAATGCGTTCTCCAGGGCGCTCTTTGTTACTGACATTACAACCACCATTTTTAAAACGTTGAAACCAAAATAGACAATCGCGATACGATGCAGCAGCATCATTATAGGCTTCCAAAAGTGTTTGATGAACTTTAGCAGCAGATTTCTTCAAATCAAACCAAAAAAAGTTATAAATATCGAAAATGGAATTTTGAGCGCTTCATGATTAACGTCTGTATGCACTGAATAACTGAATAATAGTAAGAGATTGAAAATTGTTATTTTATGTAGCCAAAGGCGAACCGCAGTGTGTATTGATGCTTCGCCTTACTATATCTTTTTTACCAATAGATGTCGCTGATCAAAATATGCGCAACCATGAATTTTATCAAAACAAAAGTATCAAGGATTTATTTACATATTTAATACAATAATTAATATGGAACAAAAAGCTTTTGTACAAAAAACTTTACTTGCGTTGAATTGTTTTATCATTTGTAAAAACGTGGTTTTTTAAAGTTGAAAACATAGATATTTTTTCATGGAGTTGAAATATTACTAACTCAATTACTTGCCTCGATTTGGCTCGTATTACTGAGAAGAGGGGAGATAAATATAATGCTAAACCAGGCGCAGTCAGATACTTTTTGCAAGATCAGCTTCCGACCGTCACTCATAATCAAGTAATTCCGTATGAAGAACCATCACTGGTTATTACGGTTGCATTATTCTCTTCTTTCTTTGTGCTCTAGTTTTTCCTTTAAGTCTTTCTCTTGTGATATAATAACGACTCTGAAGAGCGTAAAAATGTATTATAAGACTTTACTGCAGCCATAGGGTTAGAAAAAGAACGACTCCACGATAAATAGCTCTTAACTTTTAGGTCAATATCAAAGCAAAAAGGAATCAAAATGAAGCGCCTTAAGAAAAAATTGTATGGAGATTATTATAAGTAAACTACATTTAAAAAATTTTTCCTGTTTAAGATTTCTTGTGGTACCTTAATGGATATATGGCACTTACACAGAGGTAATTATTAATATAATCCAAGTGAAATCTTTTCAGTAGGTTCTTCTGAAAAAGACGTTGATTAGCCGTTAGAAATAGATTTTGATTTGGATTTCGATCACTTTTCTCGTATATTATTTTTGTTTTTTTTTTATTTGCTATAATAACATATAATTATATATAATAACATTATATATTTTTGCTTTTTTAATGCACGAGTTTTATAAATTAATGTCTCTTACCGATGCTATGATTCTTAAAGAGCGTAACGTAACACAATTCACTTTTTTTATGTTTATATATGTATTAAGCAAATGTTGCCTTTAACCGCATATAAAAATCAAACAGCTTGAGTGTATTTTCTCTGTAGTTAAGTAAAAAAAAAAACAACCCCAAAATCAAAAAAGCAAAAATAAAACACAAATTACTTTATATTGTGTTTACTGCGACAGAGATTTTCATTCCATGTCGAGAGTTTCCCGTAAATCCGTGTAATTGATCGCTACGTTGTGCGAGGGGCAATGTCCGCGTTGAACTGAAAATTTCACATTTAAAAATATTTTGTCTTTGCTTTACGAATACAGTTGTATGAGTGCAAAAATTATTGGCGCTTCTTTTGTTGTCGCTATTATTCGTTAAATTTATTTTACAAACAAATGGCTGAATATGCGCTGACGCGCATGTGTTATACAGTTTTTCTCAGTGACGTCACAAAAAAGCTTCTCCAGTCACTCATACATAAACCACTAATGATACTGCTGCTGCTGCTTGCCAGCACATTTACAAAGATTTATTTGTATTTTCCTTTTCTTTTTTTTTTGCTTTCATTTATTTCAAATACAACAAAGTGACACGATAGTATTTTTGTAGTAAGATTTCCTATGTTCGTTTTCATTAAAGCATCTTTTGTTTCCTCTCTCTCTCTCTCTCTTTTTGTCTCATTTGTCGTTGCTTCACGCGTACTTCAAGTCAAACAGAAATATTAATATTATTAATAACAATTTTATCATTATCGTTACAATTTTCATAAATTTGCTTCGCTTAGCAATCGCAGAAATAAAACTACTGCAAAGCATTTAGTAGGTGGTAAAGTAGGAATGGCATAAAACTTTCTTTTTTAAACCAATTACCGAAAGATGAGGTGTACTTTTTATCCAAACGTTTGCAACATCCAGACGCAACCTATCATCACCATCTTTTAAACCGATGTAAGCATGTTCGCCTGTTTAGTTGTTCGTCGGGAGTAAACAGCCCCCTGGCCTCAATAATAAAGTTATCGACTTCAAATTCGGCATAAACATTGGAAGTTCTTCCACGCAGACAGATATTGAAAATGGGCCAAATCGATCGAAGAACACGATCACAGCACAATATGACTTTAGCCCAACTTAATTTTCAAAAATAAAAGCAATTTGATTTTTTGCTCCCCACTTATAAACTATGGCAGATGCAAGGATAAAAGTTTGGAAGTATGTTTTGGTGATGCGCTTGCTGTACCTATACAAAAATGCAAACTTCTTTGACATATTCTGCTTATTACTCATAAGATGAAAATTATGCGGTACATTCTTCCCATGAAGATACGCTACCTGTCTAAAAATGTGTTAATTCTAAAATAACTCTCATGGGTTTCAAATAAAAGGACTTGGAGAGTAGAAGACGATAAGTTAAGTGTGTTAATCCTAAATTAAACATCGCGGCCATCACGTCGTTGTACGACTGATAACGGCGATAGGTAAAAAGATTCGGTCGCGGCGGAATATAAGTTTCGTACTTGTTTTTTTTTTTGCTTTATTTCTTAATTTCCAACACTTTACCTTCACATTAAAGAATGATGTAAATGCTGCACTTGAGAGAATATTTCGCCTTGAATTGTCGTCGCTTCTTATAGGCATTTCGGCTTCATATTGTCTTCCATTTTGGTTGGCAATAATGTTTGTTTGTTTTTATTATAAAGTATCATGAAAATGGCTTTTCTATTGGCAGAATATCAAAATAGCTCTAATAACTTTATTTTATTTTGCAGCAACGAAACTGTGAACAAATTCAAATAACAGCAAACATTCCAAATATTCACATACTCGCATTCTGACCAAGATTCGGTTACACTTAGAGTAATTTGCATTCAAATGGATGACTATGCAGTAAATTTATAAAAGTCTATATATAATATTTGACTATAGTTTAAGAGCGAGAAACCAATAAAGCTGAAATTAATGTTTTTCTCAGAATTAAGGCCGAATTTTCAAATGTTTAGACCTCAAATAAAGCATCAAAGATATCACTTCGTAATCAGCGCAGTTGGAGTTGGAGAGGGGTTCGGTAATGCCTTATCGAAAAGCTACATAAAAAGAAAATTGAATCTTTTAGTAATGGGGAGAATTTTGGATAGAGAAAGAGATGCAATTAAGAGGCACGTGCTCAACGGACCTTAAATCTTCGGCAAAAACGAAAATCAAAGTTTCAAATATTTCAATTTCAAACAAAATATCATCGAGTAAAAAAATTCATCAGCATTGAGAGGGCGTGGCTGATTTTTCCTACTTTTGTAAAATAATTTTGTGGAAACTAAAGACGCACAAAGGTGTTCCCAGTTTTGCTTGTACGGATATGTGGGTGTTGTAGGCGTGTCCTTTGATCTATTTGGGCCATTTTTAAATTTTTTGCAAATTCGTAGGCGATATCTTCTGCTTTGTGAACAGACAAACAGATGGACAGACGAGCAGACGGACATTTTTAAATTGATTCAAATTTAGATGATAGATCAAGAATATAATACTTTGTGGGCCTTTCGAAACCTCTTTCTGGGCGTCGAAAACGTTTTGACAAAATGAATATACCGCCTATCCTTCGGTGATAGAAATATCAAAAAAAACATTATCCATAATCGAGTAAGCCGCCAAGGGGCTTGTAAAATGCTTTAGGTGAAAATTGCTGCGTAATGTAATGTTTTTTCCTTTACTACTGGAAATAACGGTCATTATAACTAATTCAACATCTCTCGGAGAAGATGCTCTTTCAAATGAGTTTCTGTGCGACACCTTGTAGACACGAATAACTTATATGCTTAGTATATATATTCGAAAATACAGTTATTATTATTATGATTTAGACAGAGAAATAAGTTCTAAGACAAAAATCTTAAAGCACTAAGACTATCGGCTTTATTGAAATCTCTACCGCCCTAAGATTTACGCCCACCATCGTTCTGTTTTTAGATGTTAAGCATTTACATTTCGAATTAATATAAGAATTACTTTATTTACAAAAAGCAGTGAAAACATTGCAATTGGACAAGATTCGTAGACTTCTTTATTTTTAGGTTCGTCATTAAATTCCAAAAATTACAGCTTATTTGCATTTGAGGGCGTACTACTCATGGGAGTCGGTCTCAAAAGTTAGCCCTACATTGCTCAAATTTTGCTACCTTCTAACTTTTGTGTCAAAGTACTATAAGCGACCAGTTTTCATTATAAAATATTAAAAAGTATAACTTTTTGCCGCATAAAGCCTTGGTTTGCGTAGGAGTGGCCATATGGAAGGTACATTAAAAAATTGACCCATGCGAACCAAATTTCCCACATTAATTTAGAAAGCCGAAAAGCAATTACGTAGTGATTTCTTTTGGGATATTTTGGAAATCGCAATTATTTTTCGGGTAAGGCGTTTTTCAAAGTTAACCGCTAGAAAAGTGCAATCAATGGTCGCAAAAGTGTTTCTATTTGCATTAGGATTTCCCCTTGAGCTAAAAGATGTTAGAATGCTAAATTTTACTAAAATACTCTGATTGAATGCAAAAATCACGGATAGATGTCAGACGGACAGAGAGACAGCCAGACAGACAGACATATGCGGAGACACAGAACCGTAAACCGATTGAGATAATAATTCTGATTCGATTGGAATAATAAACGGTGGGTATATCGCAATTACTACTGGGTGCTACATATATCTGCCCAAACAAAATTAAAGAACTACAAAAGGGACTGTCTTTGCTATACATATGGCAAGTAAGTTCACGTTCTTCCTGCAGCACAATATTGTTTAAATTCCGAACAGCGAATGTATTCGTGACATATACATAATAACAATTATTTGTTATCTTTGAATAACTTGCTACAAAAGATATTTAGATCATGTTAAAAGATATTTAGATATGTTTTGGTTAATTGTACTCGATTTGTGTTCTGAGTAGTGCGTGTTTTCTTTTCGTCTGCTCGCGTCTTTTCAGTGTTTTTGCTAAAAATGGTTATCGCGGATACTGTATACGCTTTTGTTTCCTCTGTATATAATAAAAAAATTGAAAAAAAAAAAAACAAAAAAGAAAAATAAAATTAAAAACATTGAAAACAATTGACATTTTCCTTTAGTAGTTTCCAAATTTTTTCCAGTGAGTGATCTTTTCCCAAATTCATAAGTAATAGACAACCATGAGGCATTAATGCTCCGGGGCCGCCAGATAAAAACTCAAATAGATTTCATCTATTAGCGGACATATCCCCCCAAAGAAAAAAAACTAAAAAAACTCAGACTTTCCGGTGTTGTCAATTAGTAACATATACTCTTATTGACAAAAAATGTGTTGTTATTTCTTCAACTGATGCTAGCATAACAATTTCACAAATCAGTCCTTTTGCAATAAAAAAGCCCTGAATAGCATTACGACATATACAGACTTTATCTCGATTGTACGCGATGGGAATTTACTTGTCCTCGCTGGGAACACGCGCGCAACCGAAAAACCCATTAAGTCGAAATCTTTAGCTAATTTATGTGCTATTTCTGCTAAATTACATGACAAACTGAACTCAGTTAGACGCGTAATTTATGCCGCTTGCTTAAAGCACGTGCCGGAAGATGCAATAGTTCGCGAAATGGGCAATCAAGGAGTGACTGAAGTTTATAAATTCACTAAATTAAATGACGACGGAGTAAGTTATTGTGGGTTTATGGCACCGCTTTAAAAGATGTCCTGATCATGATCATTTGTTATTATACAAAAAGGCCAATGCCCTATTCAGGAAGGAATTATGAAAATCAAAGGCACATAGTTTCAAACTTTTTTCGAAAAGGATTCACAGAAATACATCAATGAAAGTTGTCTGGAACAAAATCAACAGGCTCAATGGGACTTCATATCTAAAGGAAATTTCTGCCGTCTGCACTCCCAAAGGAACTTTAACTGATGCAGATGAGATTTCTAATTACTTTGAAAAAGTGTGTTGCGAATAATTCTCTGATAGCAACTTTTCCAGTGCTTTCATCGAAAGTAAAAGGACTCCAGTTCCTCTTTCAAATGCTATTGACAGTTGTGCCTTTTACCTGGAAAATTGCATACCTACCTTAGAACTTGAAAGTCGTTCGAAAATCGAAATGGAGGACACCCGGTCTAGACCGCATCTTATACCAAATGATCAGTGCTCTGTTTAATTCAAGTGAAAAGAAATTATTGGACCTATATAATACGGTATTTTTGACTGGCCATATACTCACACGTGAAATCTGGCAGCAGTTGTTTCAACTCTAAAGTC